GGGCCAGTTGGACATTCTGAAAATAGCTGTATTAGTTTGCAAACTAAGCACCTTTTCTGTTGGCAGTTTACAAACTAAATGTAGTTTGCAAACTACATAATGCCAGAGTTTGAAAACTAAATGTAGTTTGTGAACTACATGATGCCAGAGTTTGAAAACTAAATGTAGTTTGCAAACTACATGATGCTGGAGTTTGAGAAACTCTGTGTTCCTGTTTGCAAACTTGCTGAGTGCACAAACAAAGGGTTAGCAAGTTTCCAAACTTGTTCAGTTGGCCAAGTGAAACTGTGTTGCAAAGTTACAAACTGAGCTTGTGCTTCTTGGCAGTTCACCAACTAACAGGACTTTGCAAACTATGTATTGGTGTAGTTGGAGAAACTCAACATTCCAGTTTTCTGAACTTGTCAAGTCTACAAACTAACATATGAATGATTATTGGAACTTGCTCAGTTGGCCTGTTTAAAGAACTGAGACATTTGCAGCATACACACTGTGTGAAGGCTCAGCATGATCGTGAGGCACACCAAAAGAACATCTGCCTGAAGTTCACACACTGGCTGTGGTGCAATGAGGAGGCTCTGAAAGCTGGCCCAGAGGTTGAGAGGCTTGGGTGGTTGTCCATGGTCAGTTGGTTTGTTTTTCAATGTGCCCAGGAAGAATAACTGAGTGGTTCTGGCAGCAGTGGTGGTGGTGGTGGCAGTGGCGGTGGCGGTGGTGGTGGCAGTGGCGGTGGCGGTGGCGGTGGCGGTGGTGGTGGCGGTGGTGGTGGCGGTGGTGGTGGTGTGCTACCAAACAAAATGAGTGGCGAGTAGTAGCAAGTAGTAGTGAGAAAATAATGTATGTACATCATTGTGGGACAGGTTGCTGTTGAAGGAAGACATCAGACATGAGTGGGTGGCCATCTCTTGTGGGCAGGTTGTTTATTATTCTTGGAGACGTGTGGCTTCCTCCTCGTCCTCAGGTCTGGTTGGTGTGGTGCTACACTATGTGTGCGCCTGCTCTGTGCAAACAGGAAATGAAGAAAAGAAAAATGAGAGAAAATGGCCACTTCTAGATTTGAGGCGAGGTGTAGTGATGATGGATGAAGGCCTGATGATGATGGATGATGATATACATAGAAACAAATAAGGCACTATGGGGGAGGTCACCACCTACACCTGGGCATGTGCTGTGGAGGGGTGGTGTGTGTGTGTGGCTGTTGTGTGGCTGTGCCATTGTGGGGCTAAGTTGGTACCCAGCCCTTGTAATACTATACCAAACACAATCATTAGAGCTGCCATCATGCCACATGAGCACTGCCCAGGCATGCTTGAGGGCCAGCAGTGCCCATCTCCAGGGGTGGTGGCAGTTACAGCCCCCATGCTCTGCTCTCTTCCTGCTCCATGCAAGCATATTTTTCTTCTCCTTCTACTTGCTCCTTTGCCTGCACAGCAGGAACACTTGGTGCATTTGGTTTGCATTTTTTTATTATTATTATTATTATTATTTTTATTCAGTTTCGGTGTCTGGAAAAAACAGGGCAACCATCCTCAAAAATTTCTGGCTTGTGCTTGTTGGACTTCACGCCAAATCCACACTGCTCTGCCCAATTTGCCTCAGCCACCCCCAATGACATCATAGCCATCATGTGAATTCTGGTGCACATGCTCCTCCCTTTTACCCACCTGCCACAACCATTTGGTTGTGTGTCATGTGCAAGGATGGATGATGATGGAGGCTGGTACCATGTGTTTTTGTAGAATTGCAATGACTAATTTCCATGTGAATGGTGCAGCAACTGAGCATCATCATCATCATCATCATCATCATCATCATCATCAAGGAGGGAATGGATACATCACAGGGCAAGGCCCAGCTCATCAGCCAATTGATCTATGAGGGCCAGAACATCACCATCTCCAACAACAGCGCTATGATCATGAAGCTGCTGGACGTCATGCACCCTGCCGCTCACATGGGTTGATTTATATTGCTCAATCACAGGACGAAGAGGTACTCGCCCATTTTCTCTTCTCCATGCGGCCTAATCAATTGGTTCCTTCATTTTGCTTGGCCTCATGCAAATCCTTCTTCTCCAATAATATGGTGGTCAGTGCTGTGATGCTGTTGACAATGTGACAGGACTCATTGCTGATTGAAGGCGTGGCTTTCAAGAAGAAGAAGTGCTTTTCATACACTGGTTTCAAGCAGCAGCCCAAGATCTTGATCCACAACCCCAAGATCTTGCTGCTCAACCTTGAGCTCGAGCTGAAGGCCAATGACAAACGCTGAGCGTCAGGATTGAGGATCCAACAGTGTGATGGGCCTTGTGCGCTACTTTGGACACGTCGTGATCCTGT